GAGTTCAGAACACGTGTGTGGTCGTCAACTTGGATCACGTGGTCGTGACCTTTCAGTTGAGTAATATGCGATCTCTCAGCCTAATAATTGTTTTCATAGGATATGACGTTAGCTGGTGTTCGGGATTCATTTTGGTCCACTGATAACCCTTGCATCACTATTATGAACCGTGTGTTTTCTGTTGCGCCATTGTCGGACAGTTACTTCTGCTTATCTCGTGTAGCCCATATTGCGTAAAGGATTGCAGCTGTAACGTAGACAGGATAAGCATTTCTGGGGACGGCTGTTTTGAAGTAGGAAATGGGGAAAACAAGTTGGGAAATAAACACAATTCTGACGCGCTCACTCCCTTTTGCGCAGTGCCCTGAAAACCACAAGCTTAGGACAACATGCCTTGGGCATGAAACGTGTTTCTTTTTCTTTCTCTCTCCCTGCCTCGACAGCTTTAAGAGATTTTGCCTTCCGATAGATATCGTCACTTGATTGACACAAGACGGGGTTTGGGTTGGTATTCGGATTTGTTCAACACTTCCAGAACGTAACTACAAATAGTTACTCCGAAGATAAGCAAATACAGCATACATAAAGTTTCTCAGTCCTCGTTGGTCGTTGCTTGGTAGCGGTTTTCTACGGCGAACTTTCCACAGCTCTGACTGACTCAACCACAACTCCAGTTCAGCTCAGTAAATTGCTGCTGTCCACGCCAGCACTGTCATACTTGGTTTCGGGTCTCGTCGGGACCCATGACCATATTTTTTCCAGCCTTTTACGTTTTTTGAAGTGGGACCTCCATTTCGAAGAGAGGAAAGGTCTGACTACTGCTGGTTGTACTGCCTTAACAAGGGGGGGGGGCTGTTAAATAAAACGGTTAAATTACTTCCTCGGCCGTTGCTTCATTGGGTAGGTGCGCGCAGTTCACAGGGCTTGTCAGGAGGGCGCAGGTGCGAAATGCGGTAAGGAAGGAAATCACATCAACAAAATCCACATCTCACCCTATGCTACCCTATATTGGTTATAAACAATCACTATACAGCTATATACATTATAAAGAGCCGACTGGTGTCAGATTACATATTACACTTTTCTAGGCGATTCTCTGGCCCTCATCTTTGCCTTTCTTTTCACCCAGTTGCGGGTCGCTAGTCTCCTCTTTTCCCTATTCCACTCATCCATGTATCTCCACTACCCTCCCTCATCCCCTGCATCTAGACACACCCTCTGCAGTCTCTATGTTACACATGTCTACCCCTGCATCCCTCTGATGAATCACTCTTACGCCCTGTACACTTGTTGTAACGTTCCTAACTCATGTCCCATTGGGGAAGTTACACTTTAATAATATCTCAATTAAATAGCATGGCGATAAGAGTAGTTCCACTTACTTTGCGTTGAGACTGCAGGTGGATGGCGTTGTCCGGCATCCGGTCAATGCCTCTTCCAGCATAGCCTCCGGCTAAAACTGCCCAAATTTACTGTTTGAATCGGCCTGTTTCTAATTTGCTCTCCGGGTTATATACCTTTATTTTTGATAACTCGTTGCTTTCCTGGAGGGTGCAAGTCCGCTTACAATGACGTCTTGTCCCAAGTGGGTAGCTCTCGTTGGCTGGGACCCATGGGGATGGACACGCCCCCTTACTGCTAGTCCATTTGGCTAACACTTTTACCTGCAAACGTTCCGCCTTCACTCAAGTGTAGATTTTGTAGATTTCGATATACCTTCACCGTCATTCTGCTGACAGGACATCGACGCGTCAAAGGCTAACGTCCATCTAATGCCATACGTAGAAATTCTTTGAAGTTTCTTCTATTCTATCCAACATTTTCCCCTAAAATAAAAATTAAATACTCTTTTAATATGTTACCGGAAGTCAGCCTTCAGGGCACAACAATGGTCACTCCCACGATACTTAGGAGTGACTCCGCTGGCGCTTACCCTCAGCCCAACCACATCTGAACTACTAGTCCTCGTTACAAGTCCCAGCACGGACCTCATAAAAGACGTCAATCCCATTATTGCTTGTTCTCTCGTTGCCGGGAAAACGTGTCTACAGAGCTGTTCCCTAGCAACGGCGGTTGTACTTTCGCCGGCAATTTGCTACCGGCAATTTAAAAGTGGCCGTAAAAGGTTAACACATCTGTTACTATGAAATTGGTCTACATGTCACATTGCTCCATCCTTAAGGATGCTCGCTCCATGTAGCCTTCAGGCTTACTGCCGTTTGTTCTTTTCCGGTTGGTTTGGGCAAAACTCCCGAGAGCGACCCGGCGTTCATACATCTCTGGCACACCAGGTGTGGGTAATCTTTTCTTTCGCTTCGGCCATGGCCGGCTTCTCCACAATGTCTTGACAATCACTTTCTGTCGCCCGACGGGAGACCCGACTGCTCACTTCATGGCCTCCAGTCTGAGAGCCTCATAGAATGCCTTCTTGCTTCCCTTGCGCCACCATTGCCTTGGGTCGGTTTTTTTCGGCAGCATCCTATTGCTAGATGGTGGTCCACATATCGGTCTTCGGTGTTCCGATAGTGCCCATTGCGGCATCTTCATAAGGGACTTCCTGATCTCCACTACAGACTTTATTTCTTCTGAATTCGCCTCCATATTTTCTAGAAAGGCCAATATGGCATTAGTTTCCACAGGACCTGCTTTAAACTCTTCTTGAAAGGAATCCATATAGGCCAGCATCTGTTTGTGACTGGAGCTTGTATGAGTCATGATGGCTAGCAGGTGTTCCATCATTTGTTCCGTTTTTGTATGCTTACATTAACCACTGCAGTCTTCAATCCAGTCACTCCAATTCTGAAACCAGTTGTCATGTGTTGGAGTGATTGTAGACAGGGTTTGGATTGGTAACTGGATTTATTGGACACTTACAAATAACTGCAACTGTATCACTGAGTTACATGTTCCAACTAGAGTACATATAAAATCTTCCCAGGTCTTCAAAGGCCATTGCTTGGTAGCAGTTTTCAACAGGCGATGTTCCCCTTCCTCTGGATTCCCGAATTGTCCCAGGCCTAAGTTTGTGTGACTTCTTACAACTTCCGACTGATTCAGTCAAAATCAAAGTTATTCTATGACCAACTGTCAGTTGGCCAGTCTTTCCTGGTGTCAAGCCCCCATCTGGGGCCCAAGACCATGTTTTTGTTACTGTTTTGACAGGTGTGGGTTTGTTGATGTGGGTTGCCCTCTCTAATGAGAGGACGGATCTATCAGTTATAATTTCCACTGGCCCTCGCCAGCAAAGTTGTTCTTGAGTTCAAGTCCCTGGAGACTCATGACCATATTTTACTGTTT